TATATATATATATATATTACACTACATACGTAATTACCCATGTACATACATACATACAAACAAATATTTTCAATATCAAATTTTCCAAGCGCTCTTTCCCCCTTATGTGTCCTAGTCATTAGTCAGTCCGCATTCGATCATCGGGATCGTATTCCTCTCTCCTTATTTCAATTCTCCCCTCTGGCGACGGTGGTGGAGATGGCTGTGAAGTCACAATCTACTCCTGAAGAGTCGTAAGCAGGAGTCACAGACGAGTACCCGGTTAGACGAGTCGGGGCTTCATGACGGACCTCCACTCCCTCGTATGGTCCTACGCTAGGAAGGCTGATTTGCAACAATGGTTGCCCTGTGTCAGGGATGTCTTCAATTGATCCTTTTTTTGCGGGGGTGGGGGGACTCCGTATATGCTCTTGCAGCTGGCGATTTTACCAAACATGATGATACGTGGGGGTCGAGTGCGACGCATTCTGGACAAGTGACCCTCCCTAGAGGAGACATTGTTCAAGGCCAGTAGCCTCAATGTTAGGGAGAGGTCCGAAAGATGGCCTCGTAGTTGGTGATGTGGTCCTCCCAAATGATGCAATGAATTCTTCAGAGCTTCGTTTGCTGGAACCACTGTAGACGTTTGATGTCCCGACAATACAAGGTTCATGTCTCGCAAGCGTACAGAAAGGTGGAGAAATTTCAAATGTATCTTCCTGATGTTAAGAATCATTGACCTTTTGTTGCCTCTAGAACTTGGTCGTTGCTGACATGTTCGGTCGATGGCATTCTCAGCATCTTTCTGTAGAACCATATTTTTGTTGCTTTAAGTCTCCTCTTTATCTGTTTAGCATTCTCTACTATTCAGGAAGATTGATATTACATAGAAATTCAGCACTTTTTTTTTTTTTTTTTCTTGCTTCAAGTCTCCTCTCCACCCGTAAACAAATTTTACAGCATTTACTGCCATATAGGAGGAGTAATATTACATAGCAGTTCAGCAGACTTTTCTTTGTTTCTCTTGCTTCAACTCTCCTCTTCATCTGTGAGAAAATTGTCCAGCATTTACTGCAATATAGGAGGAGTGATATTACATAGCAGTTCAGCACTCTTTTCTTTGTTTCTCTTGCTTCAAGTCTCCTCTTCATCTGTGAGGAAATTGTCCAGCATTCACTGCAATATAGGAGGAGTGATATTACATAGCAGTTCAGCACTCTTTTCTTTGTTTCTCTTGCTTCAACTCTCCTCTTCATCTGTGAGGAAATTTTCCAATCATTCACTGCCATATAGGAGGACTGATATTACGTAACAGTTCCATATTTTTTTTACAAAAACTAGACTATCTTTTGCAAATAAGCACGTTGTCTGAACCGATAAAAAAATAAATACAGCAATGAAAGTAAGTTTAATTTGGTTGGCTTTGTCGACAAATGTCATATGGCGTAAAGGTGAAAGATTGCCTTCCAAATCTACGTAAAAAATCGTTTGCGTTCAGAGGTAGTAGTCTATTGTTGTTGTAATGGTGGTAGGGTATGTTCTCTGGCGCTGGTGTTGGCCCACACATTTGCTTACATATTTGAGTAAATCCTGCAGTGCATAAGCATTTTAATAATTGGAGATCATCTTTATACGCGCGTCCCTTGTCTCTGGGCCCATCTTCATGCAAGAAAATACCCCTTGTCATACTGCAAAAACGGTAAAGCATTTCTTCGAAAAAGAAAATGTCAAGGCTATGGCATGGCCTTCAAAATGTCCAAATTACAATCGAACAGAAAGTCTTTGTAATATCATCACCGATAATATTTGGGCAAGGAAGCTGACAGCAGTGAATTGAACAAAATCATCATTCCTCGTCATCATCAATATCATTATTATTATTACTATTATTATTATCACCATCATTATTATTATTTTGTCACACAATGTAATTTTCTGAATAAACCAGGTACATTAAGTTATCTGTCAAGCCACAACAATGACAGACAACACTTTCCTCAAAATATTCGCCGTTCCCAAAAGAGCCATTTTTTCGATGACTCTAAGTTGGTATAGCATTCCCAGTTGGCCAAGGAAGACAAACAGTTTTAATGGGATTGATCCCAATGCTCCAATCGCCACTGGAATCACCTTGACATTTCCTTCCCGCATTCCAACACAATCTTGCCATCTCAGTTTTAAAATCAAAGTAGTTTGCAATTTTTGTCAATCACCTTGATTTGTGTCTTTTTGTAGGGCAACATCAATAACATGACATTTCCTGGTGTCTTGATCTAGCACAATAATATCTGGACAGCAATGATGCATCATTGTCTGTCTGAACATCAGAATATTGAAAACTTTCAAACTTCTTCAGTTGTTCTACAATGCACACGCTCGTATCAATTTTTGCAATGTTTTATCAATACTTTCAACTCAATAACCAATGTATCAATGTGACTCACCAATCAGGTGAGTCACATACTCAGAATGTTCACCTCAAAGCCTACATTTTGAATTAATTGAAGTTTTATATTATTATTATTTTCTTTGATTTCTGGCGTTTACACATTTCTTTCCGGATCCCGCCCAGGGACCTAAGGTTAGAAATGGCATCATGACACTTTCCACTGAAAAAAAAAAAAAAAACTAAAATATTACATAGATAAAGCCCTTCGTAAAGTGTGGGCTGTACTTGTCAGAACAATTTTTTGTATCTCTTTGAGGCATGGACTTCCAGGAATCCCTTCAATTAGTCTGCTGGAATCTTTTCCAACCAGTCCTAGGGCTCCAACTACAATAGGAATTGTTGATGTTCCCATATGCCAAATTTTTGAGATTTCTATTTCAAGGTCCTTGTATTTTGACAGCTTTTTGAATATCTTCAAAGATACATTGCAGTCAGCAGGGACTGCCATATCAATAAGGAGGCACTTTTTTGTTTGTGGTCTTTAATAACAATATCTGGGCGGTTGGCTTTAATTGTTGTCAGTCTGTATTGTGTAGTCCCATAGAACAGTAACAGGTCCTATCTCCGTAACCGGTTCTGGGTGGTGTTCATACCAGTTTCTTTCAGTTTCCTTCCCGTAGAAGTTGCAGATTTTCCAGTGCAGATATTGGCCCACTCTGTCATGCCGGGTTTTATATTCAGTGTGTGCCAACATCGTGCAACCTGATACAAGATGATCAATCGTTTCTGGATATCTATCACAGAATCTGTATTTTGGGCTAACACAATATTTTAGTATATGTGCTTGATAATTCCTAGTTAGCAAGCATTGGTCCTGTGTAGCAAGGATAAGGTTTTATTATTATTATTATTATCATTATTATTATTATTATTATTATTATTATTATTATCATTTGTAAGTTTCCTGTTCTGTATCCTGTAGAGCCGGGTCCAAACTATGGTCCTTAGGCTCTGTAGGAGAATTGTCATTTAATTGATAACATTTTTCTTAGTATATGGGATGTTCCTACTAGGGCGATCTTCCGACCAACTTGTATGATGATGTTACCTGGGACACTGTTAGTAAACTTATTCATTCCTATTTTCACGAGGCCCAGAGCTCCAATAACTATTGGTACAGTCTCAGTCTTCATTCCACACATCCTGTTAATCTCGATCTCCAGGTCCTTACATTTGGGCAATTTCATTTTTTTATGGAGGTGTTTCTCTCAGATGGTACCGCTATATCAATATGTATACACTTCCTGAATTTCTTGTCTTTTATGGTAATATCAGATCTGTTGTTATTATTATTATTATTATTATAACTAAGTACTGTAATTCGTCTGAACACCTTCCATGGAAATAGCAATAAATCAACGAGGTGCTTGTGATATTTCGTCTATATAAGGCAGAAGTACTCCATTTTCGTCTTGTTCTGACTCTTGTAAAGATAGAGGATAGCATGAGGAGTCAGGTACTTACTGGAGATGTAGAGTGAACTAACCATTTTTCCAGCGTCTTCCTAGCGATGGATCGTATGTTGAGTTCGGGTTGAGTTTAAATCCCAATAAGCACTCACGGCACAGGATATGCCTGAGAGAACATCCGCTCATCACGATCGCTGAAAATTCATGGTCCGCACGGTGATGCTTGTTAACAATAATTGACAATATTTCATATGCCCGCAACATAAGTGTAAAAGCAAGAGAAATAAAAAAAAATATCAGTAGTCAAAAATTATTAATAATGGCCAGGCTTTGCCGAAGAAATTCAGACAACATTCTGTGCAAAAAGACACAGATATAGAATTAATGAAATGCTACTCAAAAATTAATAATTAACAAAGTTTCATCTATGAAATTCGAACAAGATTATTAAACCAAGATGTAAACTCAGAAAAAAAACGAAATGAAATTAATAATTAACAAAGTTTCATCTATGAAATTCGAACAAGATTATTAAACCAAGATGTAAACTCAGAAAAAAAAAACGAAATGAAATTAATAATTAACAAAGTTTCATCTATGAAATTCGAACAAGATTATTAAACCAAGATGTAAACTCAGAAAAAAAACGAAATGAAATTAATAATTAACAAAGTTTCATCTATGAAATTCGAACAAGATTATTAAACCAAGATGTAAACTCAGAAAAAAAACGAAATGAAATTAATAATTAGCAAAGAAAATTTAATAATATTCTATATCAATGGTTGCAAAACTTTTCTGGGTTGCCACATCCTTGCGTAACAAATTCAACCCTAACCCTGCCACTCACATTTGACTGAATTTTTCTTGGTGCTAATATTGCGTGTCAAATGAGTATATTAATATTTCTCATAATAATTATATAAATGGGATACACTGTAAGTGAAAGCAAGATACACTTCAGGTACAATGGGTGTGTGGTGGATTTTATGGTTGAGATGTGCTACTGCCACTACTCTGGCTGACTGCTTTTCTTACCGATCCCTGTATCTATCTACCACATCCAGGGAGGTACAGTCCATTTTGGGAATATAGCATAACGATTACGAGCTTTGAAAGATGAAGAATAAATATTAAACATTGTCGAGAAGCATTCAAAATCATCATAGATAGATAGAAAAGAGGCTGAGAAAGAAAGAAAGAAAGAAAGAAAAGATGCTGGGATAGATAGATAGATAGATAGATAGATAGATAGATAGATAGATAGATATCAGGTCATCCCATAAGTTCTGTCCGAATTTTGAATAAAGAAAAGTGACCAAATGTTACATTTAATTACAGATTCAATTAACAATGTATTTTCCCTGATTATCTATGACTTCCTTCCATCTATTAACAAGCTTACTAATTCCATTATTGTAAAATTATTTTGGCTTTTATTCGAAGAACTCACAAATGTCAGTTTTAACCTCTTCCTGTGTTACAAAAGCTGTTTCTTCCAAATGATTCTGTAAGCTACGAAACAAATGGTAGTCTGAAGGAGCAAGATCAGGAGAATAAGGTGGATGAGGAATTTTCTCCCAACCAAGTTATTCGATCTTTTGTGACGTGAGTCTTGCTGTTTGGGGTCACGCATTGTCCTGATGAAACATCACCTCTTTTCGATTCACTAGAGCAGGTCTTTTTTCCTCAAAGCTTGGTTCAAACGCTCTAATTGCTGACAGTATATTTGAGCATTAATTGTTGCATTTGGTGGTAAGAATTCAAAGTGGATTATTCCTTGGCGATCCCACCAGATTGAAAGAAGAACCTTTTGTCCATGAAGTTCCCTTCTTGGCTGTGGCTGGGGTCCTTCCCCTTTACCAATCCAGTGTCTACGGTGCTTAATATTTCGATAAAAGATCCATTTTTCGTCACAAGTCCCAAGTCTATCCAAAAAAAAGGTAAAACAAGTTGGCGAGAATGGAGAGAAGAGCAGATGTCAACTCGGGATTTGATGTTGTTTTCAGACAATTCATGAGGCACCCATTTTCCAAGTTTAGGAACTTTTCCAAGTTGTTAAAGATGACGTTGAACAGTTGTATGGTTTGAACTGAGAACCACTGCCAATTCCTCAACTGATAAAGAAGGATTTTCTTCAAGGGCTGCTTCAAGAAGCTTTTCATCAAACTCAACTTGACGTCCGGTTCGATCGTCATCTTCAAGGCTGAAATCTCCACCTCTGAATTTTTCAAACCATCTTCTGCAAGTTCTTTCATTCACACATACCTCTCCATAAACTGAGTGAATGTTTCTAGCTGCTTCGGCTGCTGAGTTTCCTTTCTTGAACTCATAAAGCATTATGTGTCTCAAATGATTCTTGGGTACTTCCATGTTAGCAGGGTTTTAATCAAACAAAATTTAATTTTATTGTTCTCTGAAATAAAATTTGATCAGTTTAAATGCATCTAAACATAAAAATAATGTTCAACTCCATTAGACATTATAAAATACTCTTTAAATTTCATTCATTTTAACAAAAAGTTAAAATTTGGACAGAACTTATGGGATGACCTGATAGACAGATAAATAGATAGATAGATAGATAGATAGATAGAGTTCCCGCTCAGGTTATATAGGTTACTTTCTAATCATCATACACACCATTTGATATTCAGTGGATTCACATATGTGTCATTGATATCATGCACTGAACCTTGGCGCCACCTGTGTGTCATGTGCTTTGTAATCAGTACATCACAATTGACAGGGAAAGTTAAACATATGCCTCAAGTTTCTATATATCCGCCTAGTTGCCGTGTACTAAAACTAAAGAACTACCGGGTTAAGTAAAAATTAACAATGGGAAAGTTGAGGTATTGAATATGCGACGGTGCCATCAAGGGAACAAATAGAATGAAAGAAATGGTTAAAAATAAATACGGTATAATATTCTGAATATGACCAAAATGTGCAGTGGCTAGATTTAGGGGATAGATAGACATATACTAAAACTGGCACAGACACACAGGGGAAGGATTGATATAGATAGATAGATAGATAGATAGATAGATAGATAGATATTCTTTTATGTATTCTTTCGAGACGTTGGTGATCACGGTTCTCCACAACTTCCTATCCCTTATAGCACTAAGTAATCTTTGTTCCCTTACTATACTTCCATTTCATGTTCAAGCTCATTACGTTCTCTTTGACAATCTTGGCTTCATTTTGTACTAAAAGTCCCATATTCGCCAAAGCCGCTTTCTTCATTATGAGTCCCATAATTTTCTACTGATTGTTTTTTATTCTGAGATAAAGTGAATCATTCCTTCTAATTTTCTTTGGCATTTCCTCGTTGCTTACATGCTTTGTCTGCAGGGGTGGTCAAATTTGCTTAATGTAATATAGGATAAAATTCAGAATTTTGACAGCCACAAGACATGAACAAAATTTACAGAAACATTTTGTTACAATATTTTAAAATAAATATTAAGAAACGTATGTATACAATAATATTTATTCATGCAGCCTTTTAAACTGTCAATTTGAATTGACTTCAATAATCACAAAGTATATATATATATATATATCCGACTGGAATTCGAACTCGGCTCTCCGATTCCTCAATCCAAGCTGCTATGTATTACTCCACGTGCCTCATTCGATATATTATATATATATATGTATATTACATATATATATATATATATATATATATATATATATATATATATATTATATATATATATATATATATATATATATATATATATATATATATTATATTATATATATTATATATATATATATATATATATATTATATATATATATATATATATATATATATATATTATATATATATATATATATATATATTATATATATATATATATATATATATATATATATATATATATATATATATATATATATATATATATATATATATATATATATATATATATATATATATATATAACCTCAGTCTACTGACATTCCTCTGTGACCCTTGCTGACCGGAAATTGATTTAATCCCTCTTCCTCCCACCATTTCTTCCTTCAACACGAAAGAACAATGCCTCACTCAGATCTAGCATTAAAATAGGATTTCATTTCTGAAATATTTTTACTAACCATGAACATTAAATTTACGTTTTAATCCAAATGTAGTCTCAATTCATACCCAGTAAATAATTATAAAATACTTGAATTTTTTTTATTTAATTTTTATATTAATTGTGATGAAAAAAAAAGAACTAAGCCAATATATTTCCCCCAGGCGCTTATTAAAAGACAAAGAGCCACATGTGGCTCGCGAGCCTCGGCTTGGCCACCCCTGGTCAATAGCATTCTCAGTTTACTTCTGTAGAACTACAACTGTGAAGTATCCTCTTCATAAAAGACGTTTATGAAATGGATTCAAAGAAAACCTAAGAAAAACAATTAATGTATTTTAAATAAGATAACCTAGCCCATTATTGTACAGATACACTTTTAGTTAGAGTTAATTACAATTAACGACTGATTAATTAGTAACAATAGTTCATTTATCCTGATCCGATTGTTCATTAAGGTGTGAGGTGTACTTGCCAAATATTGTCATCAGATTGCATCACCATTTTAGTCAGCTGGACTTATTCCATTTAGTCAACTGTTTTATTTAAGCCGTTGTCTGTTTCCAGAATAGTAATATCTGTTTGGTGGATGTGCATGGCCCACTTTGTTAGTTTTGTCGATAGTCTTACAAAAATATGATCTTTAAAACTGGAGTATACACAGTTCTTTTAAAAACAAGTCTTAGTTTCTAATCTATAAAACACAACTGAAATTCATATATTTATCAATCGTACAACCTGAGCTTCCGTTCTTAGTTCTGAAATATTCCGATGTTATGGCAACAAGAAGAATTACTCTAAGCAAATAGGTCTTAATCTTTTTATGTCCGCTTCCCCTTAAAATTAAACAAGCAAGTCATTTCCCACCTCCTCCTAAAAATGTCGCCAAAAAGCAAGTGGTTTCATGACAACATTTTCATTTTAAAAAAAGAGGACGCTAACAAAATACTTAAAAAAAGGAGAACTTTGAACTTGTTTTTGCGATACTAAGTGATCAATATCAGTGGGAGTCCGTCAGAGTGCACACCTCAGATCGGACTCAACATTCAGACAATTACGGAGTTTTCTTTTACGGAGTTTTAATATTGGCAAGGGCAGAGAACTCTGCCTCTTACAAATAAGTTGTCAAAAACTGCACTAACACTTTCAATGCATTGCTGCCCAGTTATGGATACCGAATGGAAACGGACAGCCAAAACCTCTCCAGCTCCACAGCATTGTATTCATCGTTCGTAGAAGAATCATAGTCAAACTCAAGGAATTGCTCCTGAAGTGCCTCTTCAACAGTTCCAACCTTACATTGAAATAGATTTCTGATCAACATTCTAGGCAACAATCCTCGGAACTCATCTTGAAGAGCAGTGAGGTGATCAGCAATACTTCAGCAATTTCTTTCGGAATAACATCATCTCCAACACAATCACTCAAACTCACAAAAGACACAAAATTGCTCCTTTCCACTTTGCTCTTCCAGAGATCAAGTTTGGCCAGAAATTGCATGATTTTGTCCATCTGGATCAGAATGTTCATATCATTTCTTTGAAGCATCATGTAGAGTTCATTAATACCCCCAAAACATCGGCCAAGTAAGCCAGTCGAATGCAGAAGTCATGATTTCTCAACTCTTTCAAAAGAATAGTCTTTCTTTGTTCCTCGAGGAACAACACAATCTCATTAAACAGTTCAAGCACTCGACGAAATATATTGCGTTTGGACTGTCATCGGACTTACGTATAAAAAAAGCAAGACATCATGTCCTGGTATCATTTATTAGTTTAGAGTCTAAAACAAACGTACCCCGAGTCACGATTAACAATGGAATATTTCATTAGCTAATAGGGGATACCAGGCTGCTAATACAACGCTTTTTATTCATCGGTCACACAGCCTGATCTCCTTTATTATAATAATGGGATATTCTACTGTAATGGTAAGAGAACGCATTAATCTACACCACTAAGCGAGCATACCACGAGTTGTATTCAACAAAGAAATATGCTAATACATTGCTTTGAATTTTAATTTTTTTCGCTTTATCTTTTTGTACAAACACACACACACACACACACACACACACGTACACGTACACGTGTGTGTGTGTAATCTAAAACCAAAAAAAGACCATTATAATCAATGGACCCTTAAGGTTGTCTGTTTTTTTTTATATATATATATATATATATATATATATATATATATATATATATATATGATCGGAACCAAGCCTATAAAATAAAACTATAATACATATCAATTCGATATTTAATCTCATTCGAAGTAGTCTCATCTGAAGCCATCTGTTTTTCTTATTATCACTGTTGTTTTTAAACATCCGACACTATAATAGCTGTAGCTTTGTTAAGAGAGGCGACATGCTATATGAACCTGGACGTAATTTTACCGGAGAACAGTCAGTAAGAAGAACAGTTTCTATACCTATTTGCCTCAATGAATTACTTCCTCTTTTAATTAAAACTGCATATTATAGTTAGACTTTTTATCGTAGTTATTATCAAAGTTTAAGCACCCAACTTTTAATCCAACTTTTAACCTAGTAATAATAGTGACACGATCCCGTTAATCATTACCAACCACTCCTGACGATTGCTTCTAGCATGACACAGCCTGTCGCCTCTGAGTGTTGACTTCAATGTTCACTTCTATATTTATATTTATACGTGTGTGCGTGTGTATATATATGTGTGTGTGTGTGTGTGTGTGTGTGGTGCGATGGATAAATTGTCGTCCAAATTACACAAAACTGAAAATAATACTGACATTTCATTTTAACAGATATATTTACCAAAATTCGACAAAATTATCTTGAAATACTAAAGAGTAAATTTATTCAATAAAATCGTCATTTGCTTCAACCATGGCCTCCAGATGACTTCGGAATCTCCTGCATCTCTTCTGGCGCGGTCTCCTTATTTAAGTTGGTGAAGGCAGCCATAATTCTTTGGTGTTACAGGGAGTTTTGTTCGTCTCTCGCTCAACTGCGCCCCACACGTTATAATCACGGAGGTTGAAAGCTGGAGAGTTAAGTATCCAGATGTAAGGCGGGGGTGTGGTCGCAGAAATTGTATGAAAGCCATGAGTGGGTTCTCCTGCTTGTGTGGCATGGTGCAGAGTCATGTTGCCAGACACAGGGTCCTTCCAGCAGCCACCCTCTTGACGCAGTGCATCACTACATCTTCAAGGCACTTTATGTAGACCTCTGTGTTGAATCTGAGGCCCTATGGGAAGATGAATGGAGGCATAACGTCGCCATTATTATTGATCACTTCAAACACCATGATGTTGACTGAATATATCATCCAACTCTTTCCGAATCCTCTGCACTGTCCTCAGATTGACACCCAAACACTCGGAAATGTTCGTATTGGCACTTCCTGCGCGAATGCTAAGCAGTACAGCACACTGTTTCGAAATTTCTGGCGAAGTGAATTGCATCATGGTGCTCTTTTTCTTACAGACGATGCCCAACTGACCCTACTATACTGTGTAGTCGACGAAAGCAAAACAAACAATGCTCATGCGCAAAATTAAAAATATAAAATGGCGACAATGTATCCATTGCATTGTATGTTTAAAATAGGATATAGAATCCCGACAAAATTTTGAAAAATTTGAGAAATGGAAAATGTTTCATTGAAACTAGATCTGGTTACGTGTTTCGCCTTTGAAGGCTTCATCAGATCGAAAAACGAAAGAAATAAATGTATGTGTACTTGTGCGTATGCTTAAATAATGAAAAAGGCGAAAACGTACTGATTCATTATTTAAGTATGCAAGATGCACACATGCAAAATGCAGATACACACATTTCTTGCATTCTTTTTTGAATCTGATGAAGGCTTGAAAGCCGAAACGAGTAACCAAATCTAGTTTCAATGAAACATTTTTCAATTGTCAAATATATATATATATATATATATATATATATATATTTACTTTCAATGACT